AATGCAGGACATGCTCTTGCTTCTGGTTGGAAATTGTCAGCTGATGTGCACCTGCATCACCCCCTCCTCCTTAATGAGTGACAGTATTCTCACTGAGAATCGGACCTAACATGTAGCGTTTGAAATAAAAAAAGCTACTGGCGCTTCTTCAACGAGTAATCATCAATTGTTAATCGTTGTAATTATTATTTTTGAATGTCCCGCTAATTGATCGTATTGAATTGAAATGCGTCTTCTGTGGTGAGTTGTCGGCTACTAGTACGGATGTCCTAGGTTGGACTGCCACTGCGACTACCATGCCTGACTCACTGGGGAAGGGGTTTGTACGCCCAGCTAACAAGTTCCAAATATAGCACGAAACATGCATCCTAAATTCAACTGCTTACCACCACTGGTTAAATTCTACCTTTTTGATACGTATACAGAGAAACAGAGGATTATCCTTTTATAGATATCTTCTCTCCTGCCTACGTCATTGTCCATTGTCCTTTTAAGAGGTAGTGCAGATAGGGAAATCAGGAAGCAGTAGTAACTTGGTTTGGCGGCGTAGCCTAATGACCACGTTATCACCGTGTTTCTGTCCAACTTGGCATCCCTGTTTAATCCAACACCGACTCATAACACACACTTTCATGGTGTTTATTTGAAATGTTTATAGGATAATCTGTTAGTCGATAGATTTCATTTCATAGAGCCCGTATAACTTTAGTTTATATCGGCGTAATCACACGGCGCCTTTAGTTGATTTGAAGCCTGACTTCATCTTTTTTTTCAGTTTGAGTGTCAACTGGATACCGTCATCAATCTTCATACAACATATGTGATTGATTGTCTGGTACAGCTAGGAAAAGAGGAACAAAACAGATACATGGAAACTCTGTATCCCATGATTATGTCATCTTTCTATACGACTATCATTTAATTGTGAATAAAAGATTCTTTTTAAGTAACCTAGAGAGAATAAAGTTGATGTTTAGTCTTGACTTCAATGGTTGAATAATTTTACTCTTCAGCATATATACTTGTTTCCTACTGGTTGATACCGGTGGTTTTCAAGTCATGTTCATCAGTACTAGGTGTAGTAGTGGTTATGTAACAGCTAGTCATATATATTGTCATCTGAATGATAGAATTCGGTGAGTTTCCACCTCAACTTGTTTGTTTGTGTGTGTAACGGATCAAACCAACTTGTTGCCATCTAAACCCAGAAAACTGATCTTTACTCTGTGTACTGGATAATTGACAAAAACTACTTTCACTCCCCATCAATAACAAAAAAACAGTTAGTTACAATGAAAAATCTCCGGTTTAATTTATTTATTTTATTTAAACGCATAAAAACTTGGTACAATATGGCACCAAGAAAGATGCACCACACAATAATAATAAAACAACATAGATTGAAAGAAAAAAGAAAGAAAAGAAAAAATATACAAGTAGAGAACGGATAAAGAACTTCATCTGGAAGGAAAACAGTCATGCTTAACAAGTTTAACCAGTATTCGTTAACTATCATCGGGAAGGGAAGAAAGAAGGAAATTGCAACACATTCGCCATTGATTACGATTCTTGGCCATATCCGATAACGTTTCGAGCCATCGATTTGAGCTGTTGCTTCATTTGATTTATTGTGTGAGGGCTGATATATTGCCCGGGCACCCAGACCGAAGCAGGTGGTTTTATTAAGGGACCACCCCCCCCGAGCCTTTGACTTGGAGTCTAATCTGCAAGGCGGTGGAGCAGCGTCAGGAGCTGCATTCCCATGGTTTCCGGTGATCCATATGGGTTCATACGCCATTTGATCCGTTTGGATTCTGGAGCCCATGTACCCCATGGTAACTGCTTTTAGTTTAACCTCTATCCAAACAACCTTCGTGACATGGTAGGACCTGCAGGGGCATGAGTCCCAGTCAGTTTAGCTTGTTGGGTCATTGTGGTATTCAATCCCGACCACCACGGCAAGGTAGCAGTTATCGGCCGGGAAAAAAAGAATCTCCGGTACTGTTTAACAACATTAATAAAAACATGAAAAGCTCAGAATTACCTCAACAATTCCGTTAGAGACAGTTCTCTACAGGTTGGATAATTTTTTTTAGTACAAAACAAGTACCGTAGAACAAAATCAATGAACTAAATTTCGACTGTAAAAAGTACTTGAGAAGTAAGTAGACACATTGCCAACAAGGTGATATCAAAATTTCATCCACTAGAGTCACACATACACACACACACAAATCAACAATTCCCTCAAACAGTCTGAGGTCAGAGTGACTTTCATTCACTCAAACAAAATTGTAGCTGTAAAATAATACACTACCAATACCGTCACATAAACACAAAGTGAAGCATTCATATAAGTCTGTCTGTCTGTCTGTTTTCGACATAGAACTTTGCACCGATGCGCAAAAGTTCAAGTCGCAGCACACAAAGCAAGAGAAGAAAGTAGAAGAAATGCATAATAGAGACAGTAAACAGAGGTGTGAGACAAAGGAATAGTAATAACGAAGAACAACGTAGTTTCATTAAGAACGATTTTGAGCCATGTCACCAATTATTTCCAGCCATTGGTTTTTACCGTCTCGAGAACCCCAGCCAGGAAGTCAACACCTTCCTACGTGGCTGGCTGAAAGTAACTCTTGTCGATTTTGTTGACTGGTGCCATGGTCTGGTTTGACCGACGCTAGCTCTTTTCCAACCTGTCCCCCTGTCAGCTACCATTCCCCGTTGAGGAAGGCGATGACTAGGCAGGTATGCGTAACACATGTCCTAACCATCTCAGTCTATGTAACTTCACAACCTCGTCGATTGATTTCCCCTCCTTACCTAGAACTCGACGCCTAACCTGAATGTTGCTCACCTTATTATACCACTTCACACACATGGAAGATAGGGCTCAGGCACCTATGATGATCAAAGACAGCTAATCTTTTCATGTCTTCCACTCTCAATGGCCAGGTCTCACTCAGCCATAAAGGAGGACGGACCCCCCCCCTTGGTCGGTAGCCGGATATCACGTCTACTAAGCCAGAGACGGCGTAAACTGGCATATACGAAATGTGCCCTCTGTATCCCTGCTGAGATTTCGTTGGACATCAACCTCTTATTTCATATAAGAGATTAAACAGGAACAAAGACAAGTAATAACAAGGATCAAGTCGACACTATGATATGCAAATGTCAGGATAACAATGAATATACAGTCCAGGAGGGGAAGAACGGATAGTAACTACAAAGTTATTCCAAGTACCCAGATAATTATCAATATTGTAATTGGCGCTCGTTCAAGAGGAATTTTTTTCAAACAATCACTCAATTACATTGTATAATTTATAACTGACAAAGTATATATATATATATATATATATATAATTTTTTTGTGTGAAAATCACATTGCTGAACAAGTGTTATCATAATATTCTTCGAAGTAAATTATTCCTTCTTTCAGACGGTTTCTAGCCTTAAAGTAATTTGATGCATGGATAGTGGTGACTACCAGTGGAACGCAGAATGCTCATTTTGTTCTATTTGTGAGACTCGTCGCCTGGATGTACGTGTACGTGAACTCCTCCCGCCCAGTGAATAAGTGATAGTGTTCCCAGTTGGACTGGAACCCTATTTCAAATACTGAAACGTTATCCACTGGACTATTTAGGCTGTAAAAACCACCTCTTGTGTTAACGGGTGTGTCAGTTAATTATTGTGAATTTTAATTTTGATTTTCCAGTTGATTTATTGATTGATTGGTTCAAAGTGTGTTTGGCCTCTGTTGAAATATCCAATCAATTAGTCAATCCATTGGGAACATCAACTTGTAATTGACACCGGTTGAACAAGAGGTGGCTGTCGTCGTCCAACTGCCCTACTAGTGAATAATGCTTCGATGTATGGAACGATGCGTACTGGGTTCTAGTATCTGATTGTCTGGTTTCAACATAGAACATTACACAGATGTGCAGCCGTTTGAATTGCCACACTGCATGTAGCACACAAACCAAGAGAAAAGAGTAAACAGAGGCTCAAAATACAGATTTATAAACAGAAGTGTGAGAGAGAAAGTATAGTAATATAGAAAAACAGTTGAGTTTTATGTGATATGGTAAATGACAAAGAGTGAATGCATCTGCGCCAGACATTGAGAACAATTTTGAGCCATGTCAGCAGTCGTCTCCAAACATTTGTTCTTAGAATCCTGAGGACCTCAGCCAGACAGTTTACACCTCCCTATGTAACTGGCTCAAACTAACCGTTGATGATTTCATGGATTGATGCCATATTTTAGTTTGACCACTACTGGCGGTTTTCCAACGTGATCGTGTGTGAGCTAACATTGACTGTCGAGGAAGACAATAGCTAGGCATGTGTAACACATGTCCTAGACATCTGGATCGATGCAGGTGCTTCTCAGCCTCATCGATTGATTTCCCTTACTTACCTACCACTCGATACCCACCATCAATATTTCTCACCCTATTATACCTACTGCGTAACACGGGAGATAGAACGCAAACACCTGTAATCAGAGATAAGCAGTCTTCACATGTCTTTCACTTTTGTTGGCTATGTCTCACAGGTATAACGGAGGAGACAGTGAGCTGGTGAGCAGTACACACGTCCTTTGGTCGACAGCTGGATATCACGTGTGTGCCAGAGATGTCGTAAGTTGGCATATGCCTCATCTGGAACACTATCACTTACTCATTGGGTTATGCGGATACATTCAGATGACGAGCTCCACAAACAGGGAGAAATCCTCATGCCGGGTTCCACTGTTAGCTATTATTCACCGGATTAAATAAAGTTAATTTGCAAAGGTTGTTGATACAGCTTCACTAGGAGCCGACTTGTTAACAGATGCCGAACATTTCGTTGCAATGAATCAACGGCAAAATCAAAATTAGATGAGCAAGAAATAGTTTTCAACTCTTTTGTGTATTTTTTCCCCTACATTTTATTCTTCCATTTTCGCTATAAAAAGAATTTGTTTTTCTTTCCCTTGTCAGTTATAAACAATACTCATCGATCAAAGCATCAAGTAGAGACTAAAGCAGCTATCCATCGACTAGAAATGGCTTTAAAACAACTTGAAAAGACACCAGTCGGTGGAGCAGACTCACTGAAACCAATCACTGATGGTCATAATCCTTATTCTGGTGCATTAGTATTAAAATCAAATCAGAAAAATCTCAGCGCTCGTCCCCAGTCAGCATCATCAACATCGGCGACGGCGACAGTTGGATCATTATATGGCCGAAATCAAACAAAGTCGCACAATCACGGATTATTGTTGAAACATAACAGGCTATTGAATTCAGAAAAACTTTGCAAATCACCTACTAAAACACTTCATCAGCATTGTTCTAGACCAAATAGTCAAGTGATAAAAAGGCACAGTCAGAAACGAGATCTTATTTCACGTCATTTCTAAAAATATGTTTTTTTCTTTGATTTTGGTTCTCTGTTATCCTGTATAGTTTAATTTCTTTTCTTTTGTGTAATATTAGTAGTAATAGTAGTAGTACTACAGCTGAAAACCTTGAATTGAATTTTTCTCTTTGACAGTATTTATCTGTCCACTTTGGTGATATAAACGCTAGTGCTGAAGTGTTTATGATTTGACCCCACCCGACCTCCATCTCATTCTTTCAACTCTATGGCTTATAAATAGCTAACTGATGATAAGAAATTATTGTTATTCTAGCCTACCTGAAGAGTAGTGTTGATTGATTGGTATGTAGACCACTTGTTGTTGTTGTTGTTGTTGCCTAGTGTTGCAACACACACACAGACGCACATATACTGCTTACACTTGTACAGTAACATTTACTAATCGACTTTTCTTTGAGGAATCGTTTTTTTCTTTCCAATATATTATATTTCCTTTATTATTATTATTATTATTGCTTCTTATTCTCTAATAATGTTATTCGTCATTTCTTTGTTTGTGTGTGTGCGTGAATGTTTGTTTATTGGTGAGATAATTGTTTATTATATATATGAGGTGGTTCCATAGAAAAATCTTTATTAGTTTTGCTCTGATTCTTATTGTTTATGCGTGATAGAATTAATAAACAAATAGTTCTTATCAAGTTTTGGTTTCCAGGGGTTTGATTGATTGGTTGGTTGGTTGCCTGGTTACCAGTTTGATCACGAGCCGGTTGATATTTGTTGGAGAAAACTATTGGAAAATCACTAAAAAGTACTGGACAGCTGATTCAATGGCGCTGCTGTTATATGGTGGCAATACCATGTGTCAGATGATCGACAACGGAGAAACTCAGGGAAGCCGTGGGTTTGAAGTGAAGACAGGAGTAGGACAGTCTGGTTGACTGGCTGGCTACCTATTATCACTGATGATATTCTTAATTGTGTTGGACTGGATTATGCGGAAGACTGTGCTTGGGAGTGAGAAGACAGGAGTACGTTGGAGTATCCATAAGAAGATCTGGACTTCACTGGTGATTTCTGTTTAATGTCACACAAACTCGGAGACTTACAGTCGAAAATTAACAAACTTTTTAAAGAGGCTAACTGACTGGTAGTGAAGAGAGGACTTCGGGTGAACATAGAGAAGATGGAGGTGAATATGCTCACCGACCTACAGTAACAAGGACAAGCACGAATTATTACCAATGAAATAAATTTGTCTAGTTACAATCATTTTAATTACAGGTGGCACAAATAAATATTGTCAAAGCCAGTCAGGATTGGAAGGGGAAGGCAAACCTTGATCACTCTGAAAATTCGGATTTTCAACGCCAATCTTAAGTCAGAGAGTCTTTCTATATAGGTCAGGAACTTGGTGCCAGCATCACGAAAGGCATTTTGAACAGGCTACTGAGGACTTTTATCCACAACTGCATTCATTGGTTCTATACTGAAGATCAGATGACCGGCGAGAAAGAATTAGCGACAAGGAACTGTGTGAACGAACTAATCAAGAACCTATTGCTCAAGAGATGTGTCAGGCAAATTGGATATTAATCGGATCCACCTTGAGGAGATCGTTGAGTGACATCGTGCACCAAGTTTATGCTTGAGTGCTACCCGTTTGATGGTGGCATTGAGGAGATATAAACGTATGGGCAGTCGTGAGGCCGGCTGAAGAGGACCGCAGAGAATAGGATGTGCTATTGAAGCTTGATGTTCAACTCTGAACCCAAGGGAAAAATAATAATCGATAATTACAGGAGAGCTGTTTCGCTCGGGTTTCGTACTCTTCTGATTGGCTGTTGCTCTGTACATTGTAAATTGGTAGAAGTCGGAGTTCATGGGCGATTGGATTGGGTCACTACCTGAATGATCTACAGTATCATCTGGTAACTGGAAGGTGTTGCGTCTGAACTCCAGTGGGTGGATTTTACTGCTGAAAACTCCCACGTGTGGACGACGCAGCTGTCCAGAGTAATGCTTGTTTTTCCAATGGTTCTTCAAGTGATATAATCAAACTTGTAATCATTGAGTTTTTATTGTTTCGTTTAACTGTAAGCCGTATTTTGATAAGGTCTGAAAAACTTCCATGTAGTGATGTATCACTCGATAAAGAATTATCAGTTTCAAGTGAAAATAAGTGGTTAAAATACTTCAAGTTAGTTAGTTAGTATCATTGTTCCCTTTGTAACAGCAGAAGACAAGGGCCAGGCAATAGATCGTTTATGAAGGAAATCAACAGATATTGTAAGCAAACAAGTACAGTCTTCTGATTGGTGGTGTTTTCACTCTGAACGTTAATCTTTCATCCTCTTTGTGGCCATTTCTTGAAGTTCAGATTACCTTTCTGCAAATTGTATCCGCCGGACGCAAAGTCTGCTGTGATTACTTATTGAGTCAGTCTTTGTTCTTGTTCTTTTCTCATAACCAATATTGGGGACGTAAACATTGACGTAAATTACTATCTACCAATTTCGGCTAGTAGCCAGCTTTCACCACCACAATACGACTGATCAATCCCTAATTCAACTTTGAAAGAAAACAAATAAGTACTCTATTGCAAATCAAATATTGTTGTTTTTAAAGGTGATAATATTAAGTGGCCCCCTATATTAAGTAATCCCTCTTAATATAAGGCATAATGTAACGACGAAAACCGATGATGTGTTGTGATTTGAACACAGGAAACCGATCACTGAGTTCAACTGTGTAGCTAAGGAAAACTTCTTTGAGTTACTCACAGTCCCAAAGATAGCAGAAAGGCGGTTACTAAGATTGAATGAAATCTGTGGTGCAAAACAGTTAGATTACAGGAAAATTAGTTGACTAAAATTCAGTTGTAATTAGTACCTGAGATTAAAGTAGAATATTCCCTACGAGGAGGAATGAAAACAACTCCGTCCACAAGAATAACACACCAATGCCTCCGGCAGACAGTCCAATGTCAAAATCGCGTTCATTCACTCCAAAAGATAAAAATGTCACATCGTAAAACAATCCATTGTCGATAGCATTACACAACAATAGAGAGAAGCATCAAAATTAGAGATTCAACAGTGAACAAAGACTCGTAATAATAATAAGGATGAATTCAGCATATGACACGATGATATACAGTCTGGAAGGCGAATGCATAATGAAAATTACAAAGTAGGTTTTGACATCTAAACATATGTATAAATATTGGCCATTAGATCTTTAAGAAGGGATTTTCAAAAGAATCATTCTCTTACACGTAATGCTGAACCGATTTCTGATGTTCAAGATTAGTGAATGGATAACTGGCTACACTCATTTCGAGGGTTGATTCGGTCCCAATGAACTAATCGCTGACAAAACGTCGTCCACCTCATAGTTGGGGCCGGGATTATATCCTCGTTCCTTCATCAAAAGAACTGTATAATTTGCAACAGACTACTCTATCCATCGAAAGTGGTTGACTGTACTCCAGTATGTATACGCCTCGAATGACCTTGAAAGGACATTAAATTCATTGGTAAACTGAAGCAGACAACAACCAATGGGACTTCAAGATTATGAGTGGGGTGAGAGCATACAGCCAGACATGTAAAAAAGACATATGTAGTATTTTTAGGAGAACTACGTCTATATATCACAATCACTGGTTGCCGGCTGAATTTTGCTGAGATGTGTCAGATTCATTTCAAGTGATATATGAGTTATCACAACGAAACAAAAAGAACTTTTGAGCAGGATATAATGACATCATTGTATTTTGTTGACTTCTGTCAACTGCATGCATCCTTAAACAGTTTAATAAAACATCATACAAAATATTCAAATATTCATTGAGGTAATCTAAGGTGGAGCAGCCCCCTTTTCTGGTTACGTCTAACTGTATATTTTCAAGTATTGGTTTCGTAGGGATTTAGTTTGATTGGATGGAGGATTTCATCATGAGCTGACATCGGTTAGACAACCATTGGAAAACCAGCACTGAAGTACTGGACAGCCGTTTCGTCCCAATTTGGGAACCTCAATCAGCGTTCACCCACCGCCAGGGTTTGAAGCCAGAACCTTCTGGTTACAAGGAGAACTAGCTCGTAGACCATTAAGCCACTGGGACCCGATCCAATAGCCAGCCCATCAATTCCAAATTCTAGCAATTCATGACATAGCGCGACCACTTTGCAATATCTTCTTCCATGAATTACTGCCTCACTCGCGACCTGTTGCACCCTACTGGTCACGGCTTCCTACTAGAACCCCAGCTTAACTTCCTGAATAAAGCCAGTCGCAAGTGAGCATGAGATTAATTTTCAAGTATTAATTTTGTAGCGATTTTGTTTGACTGAATGAGGAATTTCATAATGAGCTGATATCGGTTAGAGAACCGTTTGATTGGGTCCTAGTGGCTCAATGGTCTACGAGCCAGCTCGCCTTGTAACTAAAAGGCCCTGGGTTCGAACCCCGGTGGGCGCGTACTGACGTAGATTTCCAAACTAGTACGATGCAGCTATCCAGTACTCCAGTGCTGGTTTTCCAATGGTCCTCTAACTGATGTCAGCTCATGACGAAATCCTCCATCCAATTAAACTAAATCCCTACAAAACCAATACTTGAAAAATTATCCGATGCTCACTAGCGACTTGCCCTATTATTCAGGTAGGTAGTTCTAGTGGGAAGCCGTAACTGTATATATCAATTTATATACGTAGGTGCCAAAGCGCATATATCAAACCATCAAAAAAAGTATTTTCGACTGCATATCTCAACAGATTTCATCTGAATGGTAGGAAAATCCTTTTTAGTGAGACTGATAACCACTTGATAGATAGCAGTCATGAAATTGATGCATTAAAGTTCAAGACAACTCTAGATTGCCCGCACTTAACACTGAACTCTGATTACCACTAAACAATAGAACAAAGACAAAATTTATGCATCCAGAAGGAGACTATCCTAAATATTGTCTACACCAACGGTAATTATATCTGGTTTTGACAATGTATACTCCTAACCTTTATTTATTTATTTTAACTTCTGTTTAACTAAATAAGTTATTTCATTCCTACATAAGTATATTGTGGATTTTACGCTTTCATTCAGTATGTAACATTCCTTGGTAATTTCTATGCCTGCTGACATGCTTAACAACGACTTTTATTTCTTTCTGCTTTCTTATTTTAATCAAGTGATATTGATATCCAATTGGTGGATGGTGGCTAGCAGTAGAATCCAGGACAATGCGCACTTCTTCCTATTTGCCACACGTCAACCAGCTGGATGTACTTGCATTTCTCAGTGAGTGATGATGTTCCCACCGAGGCTCGAACCCAGTAACCATAGTTTTAAACGCCAAAGCGTTATCCGCTAGACCACTTGGGTCACGAGAGCCACCTCTTGTGCAGGTACATCCAGCTGACGACTCCCAAATTGGACTTCGGTGGGACAGTGGTTAGGGCTCTCGCCAACCATACACGTGGTCCGAGGTTCGATCCCCTGCCGACGCACATCTGATATCTATGGTCGGCCTACAAAATTTTGGCTACCGATATCCATGCTGAAAATTCCATACTTGTACGAAAAATACAGTGTGGAATCAAGCTGTAATCAAAAATAAAATAAAATGCGTATCCTGGATTCCACTGCTAGCCACCATCCACCAAATGTATACTAATTAAATGCCCAGACATCG